TATCCTCGAATCGTTTCTCCCTTTCTCTCTTTCTCTCGCTCCCGCTCTCTTTAAATCTCTCCCGTTTTTTCCGGCGGTCTCTGTCGATCCGCCGCGACCTGTGTTTTCAATCAGCACCCCGTTCGATTCAGAAACAAAATTCGGGCGAGCGCGACCAGTGTTGCGCGCCGGAGAAAGCCCAGCAATTTCCACGGCAATTAGAACCAATAATTAAAGTGCGCGTCGACGTTTCAACGCCGGCACAATACCGCTGGTGCGTACGCTCGCATTTTTTCCTGTCCCGGCTCGATTTTTTCCCGGCCGCACGAAAGCCGAGAAGTTTGCCGCCGAAACAAACGGCGCGCTCTAACCACCTTATTCCCGGATGCATTCGAGCCACCGGCGCCGAGATTCGTCGATATCGATCTGGACGGGACGGATTTGTTTCGAGATTCGACCCCTTGTCTTACGATATCGGGTCGGCCGAACGGATTTGTTCGACTATCGGTGGAATTTTCAATGCCTGTTTCATGAGAAAGAAGCTTGGAAATGTTTTTCTTTTTTGAAACAGTGCTCTCGAAAGAAACGATCGTATTGATGCAGTGTGAGCGAATATTCGGTTCGAGTTTGAAATTGTTGCTATTGGCAAATGTATGAAGAAGTCCCTGGCCGTGGATAATTGCGACGTATCAATGTCTGTGGAAGCTTAGTAGATGTTCATTGAACCGAGACAATAGATTCTTTCGACTTTTGAATTGAATGTACTCGCGCTTTTTCTACTGGCAGATTGGTAACGATGGACAGACGTTGCAGACGTATAAAAATCGTCTGTACCATTTTCAAGATTCGATATCTGGACGTATCAAAGTTTCCTTCTTTCTTTAGCGACTTCGATGTAAGCTGAAGACTGAATGTCGTATACCATTGTTCGAAACTTCCTGACGTAATAACAGACACTTTTCTCATAGGAGCACGAGTGACTCGCTGCACTTGAAATTGGAAGTAATTTTCCCGATGAAATTCAGCCGAAAAAAACTAGAATCTACGGATACTGAATAAGGGGAATCTAGAAAATACAGAGAAAGATCTCTGTTGAAGTCATTAAACGCGATTTCCACTTGGCGAAACGGACGATTTTTCGTTTACACAAAAGTTCCTGCACGACCACGTAAAATAACTGTGTGCCGATCGCGAATCAATACCCGGGATCGTGCTCGGTCCCAGGTAATTGGTGTTAGCGAAAACAACGAGCTCGGCGCGTGTGCGACGATGAATTCTCCCGTCGACAACATTCTCAGCAGGATCGGCGCAGGAAGTCCCTGGCGATCATTCAAATTAAGAGAGGAGAAACTGTGCGGTGTGTTCGCGGCTTGCTTGTCGACGGTAGGGAAACGTCGAACAGGGGGAACGGTGGCGAACTTCGGCTAACTGAAATGCAAACGTTTCACCATAATCGGAGACTCGCACTTTGCTTGTCTTTATCTCCCTCTTTCGCTTGTCCTTCCGTTCAGTCTGTTTGTCTTGGCGGGGCCGTATTCAAATCTTCAAGTTTCTCAATTAACCCGATCCCTTCCGGAAGTCTTTGTATCGGCGGAATCGATAGACACGGAGAAAGAGAGCGACGGAAGCGGCGGTGAATAGCGAGCGAGCGAGAGAGAGAGAGAGGGAGGGAGAGAGAGAGAGACGAACATAACCAGACGAAAGCCAGAGCTAACCGATTCGAACGTAACCCGACGTATCGCGCGCGCCTCATCTGCCGGTCTCCGTATAGATCCCGGCCCCGTCAGAGATCCGATCTACCGGTTGCTCTACCCGCAGTTTCACTTTGTTCCGCGGAAAATTCGAGCCGCCCGGCGAAACTCCGCTCGGAGCACCCAGTTCCGGGCAAGTTCGACCGCGCGGCTTGTTATGTTAAACAGCAATCCTACGCGAAATGTAATCCGTTCGAACGTACTGTCTCCGCAGCTCGGCGCATTGTGCGGCGACGTTTGCACGTCGGATCTATGTTCCCCGAAGTTAAGATCGACTCTCTCTCCGTTATAACTTCCCGGGCAACCGGGTATATTTGAATTCGACTGCGCCGCGCCGCGCCGCGCGGAGCGAGCCGTGCAGAGAACCGTTCGGATAACTTTTCCAATGTAAACGACGTTCGTTTCGAGCCTCGGCGACCAGCCTCCCTCTCTCTCTCTCTCTCTCTCTCTCTCTCTCTCTCTCTCTCCCGGCGTTAAACTTTCCAATTTTCCTAATCCCCATCCACCCACTCGGCCGCGCCCACTGACACACGTCGACGTAGATCGATGCGCGCGCG